AAAGTGGAAGAAATTTTATTTCACCTGGTCCAATGTCTTCGACAACTTTTTTGAATCGACCAGCACAAACACCGAATGGTGCAGGATAAATTGAAGCGACGCATTTTAATCGAAGAGGGGGATCGTATGTACCTGGACCAGGTATGTCAGATTCCATTTTGTCATCGAATCTCTGTATCGAATTACAATCATTTACTATAAATTAACTATAGAAAAAATTATGAAAAAATGGAAAATTTCGAAATTATTGAAATTAACATAAATTTTGCGAAAAAATAACTATACTTTGGCTGTTCGTCCAAAAGGGGCTGGTTCTAAAGTATAAGGATCACATTTGCATGAGATTTTGAAAAATTTATCAAAATGACCCTTCACTTTGTAACGATTTGGGGCTGGAAGATTCTATACGTAAAAGATCACACTTTATTGTTTACAGTTGTTAACAATTTTCTAAAGGAATATTTCGTGGAGAATTAAAATTACTTCGCGAATTTTTCTCCTGTATAAAACATCCAAGAAACGTGGTTGTCTTGAAGTCATTCTTTTCTCCTCTCTTACTCTTTCATCCTGCATTTGAGCAGGTGTTTTCTCTTTCTCGTGCTGGTAATCTCCTGGACCTGGAGTTGAGGAAAACTGAGATCCTTTTCTACCTGACATTCTGCTCCAAAAGTTGCCTTTGTACATCAATGTAGTACTATTTATTTCCTGAGAATTTGTTATCGACGATGTACTTTAAGTTATTACTAATTTATTCGATTTAGTTAAAATTCTTTACTCCTCTGGTAACGTTATAAAAGCCAGTTGGTGTTTGTTCAATGGCAGGTTTCTTCACGAGGGTTCCATATTCATTGATGGTATATCCGGTGTAATTTTTATGAGGAACTGACACGGGAATTGGGATGATCGATCGAGGGGGTCGAGATTGCCATAACTGTGATTTATCATCGATGTAAAAAACATTATTTTACTCGAATCTAAAGGGCCTCATACACGTTGAGATAAATGTATCGATATAGATCGCGATAGATCAACTGAGGTGAAATCCTGAATTTATGTTTATAGCAATTAAAGTAGCATTATTAGAATTTTTAAAGGAAGAAGGAGTAAAAAATATATTTTCCCATTATCTACTCAAGCTTATATTTTACATATATTATTATTTTATGGATCACAATCATTTTAGGAAGTGAGACAAAAAAAAAATTTAACCAAAAATTTACGTATGGCGTAAAAGTCGAATAAATTACTTTTCCAGGAGAACCTCTCCAAGTACCAGGATGAGATCTTTTCTTTCCACATTTAAGAAAATCTGTAGCTACTTCATAATCCACTGGGCCGGGTCCCTCGACAATTTTTTCCTTGAATCTAGCGTCGGTAAAATCGATACTAACACCTCCCTGCAATTTTTAATTCTTTTTACCACGAATATTCATCCAGACTCGATTTCCACAGGTACAATTTTTAGAAACTACGTTCTGGTATATGTCGTCGAGGTTCTTTTATACTGTAACATCCAGGTCCAGGAAATTTTTCTGCGTCTTTCGATATAATAACAGTTTTCCTCTTTGCTCCACAGAGAAAGGGGTAGAATTCATCTGCAAGATGAACTTTCCATTTCACTTTTGTACTTCTTAAATATCATAGGTTATTTGACATTTTTACCAAGATGTTTTCTAGCTCGGGGTATGTACGACGTATCGTACGTTCCTGGTCCAATTTTGGGCAGTGTTTGTATAATTAGTTTTGGAAATCTTTTTGTCCTGTCGTACGCCATATTCTGACAATTCTGCGTAATACGAAGAAACGAAAAATAACAGTAAAATTCTAACCTATATTACGACGTATTTCATCGTACTCGTGTGAACTATGTCGACAAATTAAACAGAACATTGAACAGCCTAATCTCGTTTTCATTAAACGCAGTTAGTCGATGTTTTCTATTCGTTAATGGTACAGAATTATTCGCGTTGCATCATGGGTAAAATGTTGACTTGAATACCAGTGCATCCCGCGAGGTTGTGACGACCGACTGCTTTCGCTAATGAATCATCTTGGTGCAAGAAAAATTATTTGTTTGCAATAATTGTAACGGGGTTGGGTATTCGCGCCCGAAGGACGCTGTTTTCACTTCTTTAACCTACTTTTTTACAGTGTTCGCCTTGCATAAATTTTCGGCCGGGTCAGTTAATAATTTCGTTCTCGTTACGCGAAACCCATTAACGTTTTGACGCCGAAGTAAGAGATTATCGTTTGCATCAAATTGAAAACGATTCGCGCGCGCGCGTGAAGTAAAGTGAAGGGTTCTACGACGAACGAGCCAAGTGTTTTGCAAGTGATATCTCTTTTATTGCATCATTCGAAGAACGTTGCGTATCAGCGGTCGTAAAGATTTATCATTTCGTGCAATTTTATTTTCTTTCTCCTCGAGATCGTAATTTCTCCCAGTGACTGATTAACTTGTTCATTTTGAGAAACCGCAGGTGTGATTTGTGAGGGACGAAGTATTTTTTATACGTTCTTTAAGGTTAGAAGAATTATTCTGTTACATGTTTTTAGAGTATAAAAGTACGACACAGAATTATTGGCGGGCACAGTTTCCATTTGTATTTAAGTGCCACGTGTGAGGGCGCCACTAGTACCACGTGAAAACGTGTTTGGTCGATTATTCGAGACGCTTCTGAGTGCAAACGTGGTTTGCTAATACAGTGCTCTGCTTTTCAACGTCAGTGTTAAACGTCGAGTGTGATTTATTCGGTGCACAACAGCAAGATTCTGCCTAAACTCGGAGAAAAATGACAAAAGACGAGCAGAAATTCGATGGAATGTTGCTGGCTATGGCTCAGCAACATGAAGGCGGCGTACAAGAGGTGAGTTTCGTTTCGTTGCCGGCTAGGTTAGGTTTCACTTGAAACAACAACGTTATTTTCACGATACGTTTGAAACTATTCGCGAATTATCGTTTCTGTTACAGTTGTTGGACACAATCTTCAGTTTTCTCGCGAGAAAAACGGATTTTTACACCGGAGGACAAGAAGGTGCTGCAGAAAAGGTGATTGCTCTTTGTACATTACACTGTGCAATGTTGTGTCATGTTGTAAACGATTTCGTCATTTCATATCGACGTTGTTATTCATATTGTCGAATTTGCGTTTGACTTCAGCTTGTCACTAGTAAATTTAAGAAGTATGAAGCTACTGCTGTTGCCAAAGCAGCCACTTTAAAAGCAGAGCGTGCTGAACAAGAGAAACGCCGTAAAGAGAGAATGGAAAAGAAGAAGCAAGAGGAAAAGGCAGAGGAGGATAAATTGAACTCAGAATCAAAGATTGTCGAATTGACTGACGAACAGGCTGTTAAATTACAAGAGGAAATAGATAATCAGGTACACATACTACATGGTTAAACCTGCTATTCCTGGACCCAGTGGTGATAGTGCTAGTGACAAGAAGGAGGAGAATCTGGAGGATGAGGAGGAAGATGAGAAGGAGAAGGGTAAACTCAGGCCTAACAGCGGAAATGGAGCAGACTTGCCGAACTACAAATGGACACAGACGCTTCAAGACATAGAGGTAAGTAACATGAACATCATGCATGTAAATAAATCTTGGATTCTGTAGAAATATTCAATTCTTCAAATCATTTCATTTTTTATTCAAATGGTAAAATGTTTATTGCTAAATATTACTAAAAAATTCAATATTATATATTGAAAGTTATATAACTTGCCAGTGTTATTTCTTACACTGTTATATATTGACCCTAACAATTATTGGGTTTATTCCAAACGGATATCGTTAAATATACGAACTATCGTAGAATAATAAGCTGCACTAATTTATCTATTTTATGTTCCATTTTTCACTTATTTTATACTTCATTTTTGCCAAATGTTTAACAAACGTTAATCGAACGAAAACAGTTACATTCATTTCGAGTGCTATTTCTACAGTATCGCGATATAATAATACTGCTCGAAATATTCTCTCTTAAATATTTACGCTCTTTAATTAAAAAAAAAAAGAAAAAAAAAGAAAAAGAAAAAAAAAGAAAAGAACAAAGAAAAACTCATTGCAGTATGAATTTCACTGGGAAGATTTGGGTGGGGCAGGGGTGAAATAAAACAACATTCACATTTTACTCATGGTTCGACAGTTTCTTGTTGAATCGACGATTAATTAATACGCAAGTAATATCACAGTTGCGAGTCAACGATCGACACGATCGTTGCCCATTTGCTTTTCCGTACATTCCCTGGAACACGATAAACCCTGACACACTAAATCCAGGTTCGATTCAGGCGTTCTTTTCTGTTAGTAACAATTAAATAACGACCCCTAAAATTAACACGTATCCGCTTATCTTACTCCCATCTCGTCGATTGTTCTGAACTGTCCGTCAACGTTTAATCGAAGAAATACTTGTGCGTCTATGACTTGACGAAATTTTTTTTTCGCTGGACGACGACACTTCTTCTCCGACACATTTTTTCACAATCTTACAACTGGTTCTCCAAGAACAGTTGATCCCAAAATTTTCAAAGAAAAAAAATTTCAATCTAGATTAAATTAATCGAAATTTAGCTTAGTTTAATTAATTTGAAATTTCGTGGTAAATTAAATTTAGGAAAATCTCCAAAAATCAATGGAGACGTTGGAGAACCAGGCTCGAATAGAGTACGAAACGAATAATTACGAGTCGTCGTCTGTTCTTAATTATAACATAGAAGAATTGGTAGAAAGGGGATATTCTACTTTACTCGTCGAATTTCGAAGAACCGGGATCGGTTCACTCGCGAGATTATCGAGCGGCCCAACGAGTTAGGATCGCGTTTACCTAAAGCTAGCTCATTACATCAATGTAATTACTGAGTTTTCACGTACCGCACGCCGTACACGGTGCAATACAGCCTTTGAAACTTTTTCTCTGACCGAGAACGTCTAATCGAGTCACCCTAACGTTCTAAATGATAATATACATGTACATTATAAATACGAGTAACGCAGCATTATCGTGATCGGGAGTTTTTTCTTCTTCTCGGTTCGAAGCTAATTATGCATTCGTTCCCGGTTCCGTTCGCCTCCTCGTTCTTCCGTTTCGTCGTTTATATAATCTTCCAGTCAATTATCCACGATCACTCGACTGCAAATTCCCATTCGATCTCCTCCTAATGGTACTTGTCGCGAATTCTCACTGCAATCAGAAGCAAAAAGCACCGGAGACTGGTGGAGACTGATCTTACAGGTACATTTACGCTAAATTTGATTGTTAAACCTTTACACTCCATTGGTAATTTTTATTATATGCACTCTAATTACACTGCTATGGCGTTATTTGCATCACAGCTCAATCATGGAGAACTTCAAAATTGCAAAATTCAAATTTTACTGATATCAGGTTCCTCTAAAATTTTCCAAATGTTGCTCTGAATTGTTTTTTTAATGAAGGCACGAATTAACTTTTTTTTTTGTGACGGTCAAAAAGTTATATTTTGATTGATAAATATTATTTTTGTTAAAAATAAGGACGAACAAGCTGGAATCTTTTTATTTTTAAAGTAAGGCTTTCGATTTTCAAAAGTTTCACTGCAAAAGTGTGTCGAGCGTATGGGAAAAAATGTCTCGAGTGCAAAGGGTTAAAAGATCGAAGGAGTCTCTGGATGGCGAGCTCTTCAATTGATTAAGATCGCCACAGGGGATACTCACTTTCCATGTAGAGAATCCCGAGAAGCAGGCCGACCATGAATAGGAAGCTCATCGTGCAGACGAGCACGGTGAGCTGGTTTCTCGCGCAGCAGGACTTCCTGTAGACGGTCGTCGGTCTGCCCAGGCCGTTCACCACGGTGAAGTGGGTGCTGCTCGCCACAGACGCCGTGTCCATCTCTTTCGGCGCCGTCACCGTGGGCGGATGAATCGCTGCGAGATTTGCCAGGTTCGCGGCTGTCAATAACAACGTGCCCGATGCGGCACTCTATAACATGTAGTTGTATTAATTCATCGTTTTATCGTCCAATTCTCGCTCCTTCATCCCTCCTAAATTTCATTCCAAGTTAATCGAGCATTTCTTATCGTATCGTTTCGACGTAGTCTTTGGTGGATTAGAATTGAATTTGTTCAATGTAGCGATGGAAGTTTGTGGGGTTTGAGGAACCTAGTTCTCACGTGATCTTCGTAGAATTTTAGTTGAATTAGTTGGTAGGTTGAAGTAGTAGAATTTTGGGGGATTTAAGTCACATGATTTGGAGGTAGTCGAGTTAGGATCGAATTTCTATCTTTTGACATGATCTTAGTCCAAATGAGTAAAATGAAATTTTTTTTGCGACAATGATCCTTTTAGTTGCAGTTTTTACGTGCATTTGGTCTTGTGATTCGTGCTTTGCAAAGATAGATGAGCGAATAGGTTAATACTTCGATTTATAGATCTGCAGGTTCCTCCACAAACACCTGATTTCACATTTAAAAGACTACTCTCTAAATCTATATCTGTATGTTACAAAAAAAAAAAAAATGCAAATAATGAGATAAGGTGTGCTTTATACGTTGCTTAAGCAGAGTGTACATCACCTAGGCAAAGTATGAAACGACAATTTTCTATCGTCACACTTTAAACATTTATACATCGCCTAGGCAGTGCATAGGTTGCCTGTAACACAAGGCTACCAAACCATCAGAAAGACTGTTTAATCTCAACCAGAAACGCAACCATGGATTACTATTAGCCAGCCTATGATTTACGTTAGCACGCAAGATCCTATCTAATCGAAACCCATAATCGTACTGTCCTCACTTACGTGTGTACTGGCGGTGGATCCCTGTGACGAGGTGGATCCTCTGGACGGCGAGTTTGGGTGCAGATGATGAGCCCAGCTACCATTCTCGCTGTCCCTCTCGCTGCGTCCAACCAAGGACGGCCTTGGGATGTGCCAGGAAAGCGGGCTGCCCGCTACCGCCGTCGTAGCCGCCGTCGCCTCGATCTGAAAGCAACGTAAATCGACGTGAAGCTCTGATTGCATAAGCGATAATGTCGCGGCGATTACGCTTCTGCCTCGCCCGCATGTCCTCCAACTGCAACCGCGTGTCGTTTATCTGTCGCCGTTGGAACATTACTCTACATGTAGTTACACGCTATCTGCGTTTCATCTGTTCGACGAGCAGGCTCGCGGTCCGATTGACCAATAAGCAGATTAAGTGGCCGTTTAAAAAAAAAAGCGGCCCTCTATCTCGAGCGAAATGCACCTTTCCTCGGTCTTTAACTCCTTCCATAACACAACACCGCCGCCACCGCCTCCTTTGCTACGCTCGATCTCCGCGACTGCGAACCGAACTGTTACTTCGATACTAATTAACCACCGTTCGACACACCGCGTAGTAGCACACGCCTCGAAACTTTTTGCACACGCTAGAGAGTACGAATGTGTTACCCCAGCATTGTATTCCTCGCTCGTTTCTCCGGGAGGCTCTCGTCATAAACAAACTTTGCATACCAGCGAGCAGCGAGTGGTTT